TCTTGCTCAGGCTGGTTTCGAACTCCTGAGCTCAAAAATCCGCCCACCTCGGCCTCCCAGAGTGCTAGGATTACAGGCGTGAGCCACCGCGCCCGGCCAGAAGTTTGTTTTTAGACTTAACTTTTCTTAGAAGAAAATTAAAGTTCAATCATGCTTTAAAAAAAAAAATCCCCAAACAAATCAATGTTGTAAACATTGAAGGAGGAACACCCCTTTTGCTAGTCATCTTTATGTTTTTCTTACTTCTGTTTCCCACCCCCTTCTTTCTCACTTGAGCTTGTTAAAGCAGGTTTGGCATTAGCACTCTTTGGAGGAAGCCAGAAATATGCAGATGACAAAAACAGAATTCCAATTCGAGGAGACCCACACATCCTTGTTGTTGGAGATCCAGGCTTAGGAAAGAGTCAGATGCTACAGGTAGAAACTCAGTCTTTAATATTTGGCCTTTCGCTTATTAAATGGATGAATAATTCACAAGTGGATTTTCTTAAAACTTGTATATTTGTGTTCCAAAGGATATAGTTTGGTGATATAAGTGAATTGGGGTTTGTGTGAATAATATGTAACTTGTATCTGACCGTATTTTTAAATTGAGCCACTCTCCTGCTACTTTTTTTTTGAGTTTGATTCCTCATCATCAGACTGCTAGTCTTTATTGTTGTGACATGACTTCACCTATGAACAGAACAGTTTAAAGAAGTAATGGTGACCCATTCTTTCTTCATACAAGTATGTGAACTCTGTATTGGGCTTTAAGAACAGCCTGGTAAAGGTATGAGATCTGTCCATATACACCTCCACTAAGTCAAGGGAACTTCTGTGACCAGTCAGTTTTTGTTCCCAAAGAAGATTCTGCTTCTGCCAATTAGAGCCTGGTGGTTTTCCTCTCCTGGGTTTATGCTGCTTGTCAGAATGCTATGGTTTCCTCAGAGTGATACCTGGTGAGCCAGCCATAATGTCCTTTCTAGGACTGCCCATGAGCCCCCTCTCCCCACTTAGTGCAGAAAACGTGACCAGACCAGGAGCTTTCCGGCCCTTTGGCAAATTGTAGTCCTGTGGCTGCTGGATCTTTGTCCCAGGATTGGGAACCCTGGCTGTATATCAGAATCCCCTTTGGAGCTCTTTGAAAATACTATGGCCTGCCCCAAGCAAATGGAATTAAGAGTCTCCAAGTTAAGATCCTAGTGTCTGTACATGATAACCCTCCACAGATGACTCTGATGTGTGGCTAGGATTGGGGACTGCTTTGATTTTGTCATTACATGATAAACCCATTACCCTTCATGTCTGAGTCATCCTTTATTCCCTGTGGTTGGCTGTTAAACCAGTCATCCTTTTAATTCCTAATCTGACATTTCATCTATGTTGGGTTCCTTTTGGCTAACTGGGCCTACTTTTAAAAAATAAATTCTATTCCAAGCCTGACAACTGAGACACAGAGTACCCAGCTGTAGGTGAAACAAAGTTCATAATAAAGATGAAAACAGGGTACTTAGCCAGAACATGCAGGGAAAGGCATGTGTGGGGATCTGGATTATTACAGCTTTCTCTTCTGTCTTTTGAAGGGGTGTGTGTGTGTGTGTGTGTGTGTGTGTGTGTGTGTTTGGGAAACTTTGGAATTAATGTATTATACATGAAATCCTGGTATAATCCCTACAGTATCTGATCATCTTTACAAATCTTATAATTTAATTTATACATGTTGCTTACAGTATATAAAACTTCCTTTTTTTTTTCCTTTTTCTTTTTTTGTTATTTAAGTAATGCCTATTGGCAAATAATGGTTCCAAAATACAGCTAATGGTACCGAAAGGTTTTAATACCAAAGGATTATATTGGCAGTTTTTCTTATTTTTCAAACCTGGAGTAATACCTTTAAAACCCTTGGCCCAATTTAAAAATAGAAGCTGTAATATTAGTGGAAATTAAACATTCCAAACACTAGAGGGTATTGCATGTAAGCCCCACTAAGCAGGGTTTTTAAAAATTAGACTAACACTAGCATCTATGAGCCATCACCTTGTATTTTTAATCATATTTTCCTCTGGCCATTTAGTAAACCATCACACTGTCAGAAAATTGTAAGGTTTCTCAGAAAGACTAATAAATAGGGAGTTATAAGTAACAAATATGATAGTGTTTCTTGAGCCAGCATCATAGGGTCACTGGAGGTGTGCACTGCATAAGTCCAGAGTATGCCACTGACATAGACAGCAGGGTGAATGCTGTGCCCTGGAATTTGGCAGTGCACAGCCATACACAGTGGCTTTACAATGGGCACTTATGTGCCAGGTTACATGCCTTGCATACGTTAATTCCATTTATCCCTCAGGGCAGTACTGCGGTAAAACATAAGGAAGCTGAGGCTCAGAGAAGTCTGAGCCACACTGCTGGTCCACAGAGCCATGCTTTTAACTCTTGTGCTATTTACTTTTCTGACCTGCCATAGCTCATCTGCTCATAAGGTGAGCGTGTATTGAACCATTCTATTACCTGATATTTAAAGAAGCATTGGGGACTTTGAAATTAAAATTGGTGCTCATGTTTTTGCTATTTGAACTTGAAAATGAAACATACAATGGAATTGTGTTCAATATTTATGTGACCAGACTCACGTCAGACTGCCTGGGTTTGATTGAATCCTGGCTTCTCAGCTTTATAGCTGCGTAGTTCCTCATTTACTCTTCATAGGCCTTGGTTTCTACATCAGTAAACAAGGATATAATAATACCTTCCTCTTGTGGTGGTGGTGAACATTGTACAGTAGAGCTCTTAGAAGAATACCTGGCATATAGCTAACCTTTGTAAACAATTACTGTTAACAATTATTTCCCTTTTACTTTATATGACTGTCTTAAACTTTTTGTTTCCTTAGGCAGTATGCAATGTTGCTCCACGGGGTGTGTACGTTTGTGGTAATACCACAACCACCTCTGGTCTGACTGTAACTCTTTCAAAAGATAGTTGCTGTGGAGATTTTGCTTTGGAAGCTGGTGCCCTAGTACTTGGTGATCAAGGTGAGAGACCAAAGGAAATAATCAGTAATGCTGGGGCTTTTTTTTTTTTTTTTTAAGCCTTTTCCTTTTCAATTAATTTCTTTACATTCAGTTCAAAAGACATTTAGACAGCACAGTCCTAACCAGTGAGTTTACAATGAACGTCAGAGACAATAATTGGAAATGCAGTACTATCGTTTTTATTTATACTACGGAATTGAAACTGGTACTTAGTATTATTCATTTTCAGAATCTTATAACAGATATAATCATATGTAAAAATGAATCAAGTAAAATATGTGTAGCTCCCTACACTTCCCATTTCATTACTACCCATCATGTTTGTGATCATTTGTTTTAACTCTTATTTTGAAGCTTTACAGTAAGCTCCCTGCAAGATGTGATTTAGATGTCTTGTTGACTGCTATGTTGCCATTGCTTAGTATGTAGGTTCACAGTAAACACTTGTTGAATGTATTACCATAACTTAGCTCCGAATGGTTGTAGGTACCTTGGGACTGAAAAAAAGGTGGATGCCATCATTTGCTCATAGAAGACTTGCAATAACAGATTGGAGCTGTTACTTTAGAAAGAATTAATAGTTTTGCTATATTTTAACCCACCTCATTGGTTATTTTTTTTTTTTCAGGATTTGCGTGAGAGTTTATAAGAAATCTAGTTGTAGGGCTCAGCAAGAATCTCCTTGGGATTTGCTAGCTGAGTTTCACTTTGTGATGCCTTAACCTTACTGGAGAAATGTGTTCCTATGCATGTGTCAGGTAGTGCCCAGATTCCAGTCCAATTAGGGTCATTCATTCCTTTCAGTTTGCCAGTGATTTCCACATTTCTAAACCCCGTACCTGTCAACCACATTTAACACAGTTGATCATTCCCCTTCCTTGAAATACTTGAAACTCTCCTTGGTTTCAGGGCCACTACCTTCTTCTGGGTTTCTTCTTACTTCACTCACTGTTCCTTCTCAGTCTTTACTGTTTTGTCATCTCCTCAGCCACTTACCTGTTGGTACTTCAAGTGCTTAGTTCTTGGACCTTTTGTCCTAGGTCTGTACTTACCTTCTTGGTGATATTATATAGTTTCATGGCTTTAGAGGACCCAAAAATGGAACCAGAAGTAGATTCTGAGATATAAGAAAAGCTGCTTGAAATAAACAAGACTAATCAGCATTTATTTTCTACATACACCTCTGAGCTAGCAAGGCTTACTTAAGTATAGAGTAGATGTAGAGCAGTTTAACCACAGCATAACCCTCCAGAAGGGCCCCCCTCATTGCTAAACTAATTGGTATGGGGAGCAGGGAGGACAAATATTACAAGGTAATGGTAGAGGGTCTCCAATAACTTGTGGATTCAACATAACATCCCTGGCACATGCTAATGCCTTCAGTCAGTAGTGGCGCTTTGTATTATGTTTTCAAAGGTTACGTGATTTCCCTGCAAGTATACAGTCAATACCTGGGATTGCTGAGAACGGCACTCAGCACTCGAGTCTTCTGACTTCAGGCCCCATGCTTTTCCTCCCTAATCATGCTGTCCTGCTGCTTCCAAAAGACCTAGCTCAGACAGCACCTTGCTCTTGAAACGTCTTCAGATTTCCCTTCCTCTTTTAGTTCCCTCCCACCCCAGAAAACTCATAGATGTTATGCGTATCTCTTATAGTTTTTGAAATATACTTCTTGAATGTATGTGTATATATATATATATATATCTTATCTCACCTGTTTGAATTTAAGTCCTTAAGCATTTTGAGGGTCACTCTTGGCTCTTCTTAATATTCATAACCCTCACAACATAGTGCCTTGCCTATGAAAAATGCTGAAGGAATAAATATTACCTAAAACTTAGTTAAGTAAGACAAGTGTATTATTTGCTGCAAAACAAGCAGCAATTCTCCATTGTATGACATTTTATAAATTTAACTTCTAGAGACAAAAGGAAATAATTTTTTATTGTGGAATAGTTTCTGTCCTGTAAAATTTGGAACTTGACCAAAGGAAACTTGTTTTTGTCTGTATTATTCTCTTGCGGTTGTAGGTATTTGTGGAATAGATGAATTTGATAAGATGGGGAATCAGCATCAAGCCTTGTTAGAAGCCATGGAACAGCAAAGTATTAGTCTTGCTAAGGCTGGCGTGGTTTGCAGCCTTCCTGCAAGAACTTCCATTATTGCTGCTGCAAATCCAGTAGGAGGACACTATAATAAAGCCAAAACAGTTTCTGAGAATTTAAAGTAAGTCCCCTCAAATATTTGTACTTTTAAGATATTGAATCAATAAGGAAAAGATAACTGAAGACATAAATGGATAGTTCACAGAAGTTATAAGTGTCCAACAAATGTACAAAAATGTGGTTAAACACTGCAAATTAAAACAATGAAATACCATTGAGATTTACAAGATTGGCAAACATTTTAAATATTCGTAATCAATAGCAAAGGAGTGGGGAAATTGGTTCTCACAATTTTGAAGGAGAAGTTGGTGTGTTTATCATAATTTTAAATGTACATTCCATGTGTTCCAGCCATTCTACTTTTAGAAATCCTGCTCACAGAAATAGTCACACAAGCACACAAAGATATGTTTACATTGTGGGTATTGCTTATCACTGCCAAAAATTAGAAACAACTTAAAACTATGGTAAAACTGTACAGTGGAAAGAAAGTAGCAATTATGAGAATGAAAGTGAGTTTGTATTCTGATATCTGTGCTTTACTATTACATGAGGAGAGCACGTTATATACGTTATGTAAAATAATCGTATTTTTTTTTACAATGTTTTTATCTGAGTGCTTTCTCTTCTAATTCATTTTGCACAGGTTGGACAAATGTATGGAAAGGAAAAAATAATTTTAAGCAATGCAAAAGTGAGAACCTTAAATCTGGTGGGGGGAAAAAACTAATTTCCTAATGTTTACTAATTTATACATTTATAGAAATAGTCTTTGAAGCACAGTAAAATATGGAATTGTACTTGGAGATTTGGGGGTATTTCTGTACCACCACCACCACCATAAAAGTCAATCCATTAGTTACAAAGTGCTATATTGGAAAGATCAGAAAGGTCTGTTAACAAAAAGCTGGGGCACTTGGATTCTGGTTTTTAGTGGTATCTTAAACCTACTTTGGGACCTTGGTCAAATTCTTTAATCACCAGAATTTCATTTGCCTCTCAGAGGAGTTACCTGGATTGGTGGGTTCAGAGAAGATAACTAAATATAACACAGCATTTTTATTATAATGACTAATAGACATGTAGATGCCCTTTTTAAAAAAAGTGGGCTTTTTTGTTTCTAAATGGGACATATGTACTTTGAGAGACTCAATGTTTTGGTCAGACAAAAGGTCAGAAAAGATTAAGAACTACCCAACTAGATAACCTTTGATATGTCATGTAGCATTATTGTCAGTTAGTGATAATAGAGCATAAAGAAGAATTCAGTGGTTTTGATTATGTGAGAAAGGCCACGCCCTCAACCTGCCTAGAGGAAGTATTAGTACATAAAATTCTTGTGCACATATTAAAGGGGTTGGAGTGGGTGGATAGATTGAATCTAAAAAGCTATTTGCTTATTTCTTTAACCAAAAGCTTGATTTTTTTTTAAAGTTTCACATGGAACTTTAGTGGTAAACAAGCAAGTAAACAATTTTCTAGTTTTTCTGTTTGTTTTGATTCCAATCATTGTTTCTTCTTTCTTTCATGCTTCTTAGAATGGGGAGTGCCCTACTCTCCAGATTTGATTTGGTCTTTATCCTGTTAGACACCCCAAATGAGCATCATGATCACTTACTCTCTGAACATGTGATTGCAATAAGAGCTGGAAAGCAAAGAACTGTTAGCAGTGCTACGGTAGCTCGTATGAATAGTCAAGACTCAAATACTTCTATACTTGAAGTGGTTTCTGAGAAACCGTTATCAGAAAGGCTAAAGGTATCAGTGTTTCTTTTCCTTAATCATTTAGTTTTGTTCTTTTTTGAATGTCAGAGTTCAGTATGTGGCTTATGGTAGAACAGTAGCATATGAACTTTCACAGCAAAAATTTTTTTTTTTTTTTTTTTTGAGACAAGAGTCTCATTCTCTTGCCTGAGCTAGAGTGCCATGGCGTCAGCCTAGCTCACAGCAATCTCAAACTCCTGGGCTCAAGTGATCCTCCTGCCTCAGCCTCCTGGGTAGCTGGAACTATAGGCACGCGCCACCGTGCCCAGCTAATTTTTTCTATTTTTAGTTGTTTGACTAATTTTTTCCTATTTATAGTAGAGACGGGGTCTCGCTCTTGCTCAGGCTGGTCTCGAACTCCTGAGCTCAAGCAATCCTCCCGCCTCCGCATCCCAGAGTGCTAGGATTACAGGCATGAGCCACTGTGCCCGGCCCACACCAAAATTTTTTATAATATGATTGTAGAGTTTATGTAAACTTCATTTGAAATAATTTAAGTCAGTTAGAACAAGAGCTACAACTCCAATGTTATATTTATTTGGAGAGTCTTTTAGAATTTTATATTCATCTAAACAAGTAATTTTAGCAGAAAGACTTTATTTGCTACTTATCCTTGAACTCTTGAGCCTTTTTATCATGCCTCAGGTGGTTCCTGGAGAAACAATAGATCCCATTCCCCACCAGTTGCTGAGAAAGTACATTGGCTATGCTCGACAGTATGTCTACCCAAGACTATCCACAGAAGCAGCACAAGTTCTTCAAGATTTTTACCTGGAGCTCCGGAAACAGAGTCAACGGTTAAATAGCTCACCAATCACCACAAGGCAGCTAGAATCTTTGATTCGTCTGACAGAGGTTTGTTTATTTCTCCATTCATAATTTTTTGGCTTAAAGAAGTGGATAGGGTGCAGTATGATTTCTCTTGAACAATTTTATGCATAATTGACTCAGATTTTCTTCCCACTGAGAGAAATTAGAAATTGGTAGATAAAAGTTTTTAAAAGATATGGTTGTATCTGTAACATGTCAAAATGTAACTATTTCTTTCTAGGCCCAGGACCAATTACTTACTATGCAACTTTTTTTTCCTTTTAATGACTCTTGGAAACTCCTAGAGTACCTAAAGAATGATTATGTTAAGTAGGATTCTAGGATTTCAAGTTGAATTTTTGGGAACATAGAATGTATCAAATATCTTGAGTATTTGATTTGATTACATGGCAGATCCATAATGATAGTGCCTGTGTTTCTAATAGCAATAACTATTTCCAGTTGTGGAATACTAAGAGAAATCTGGCAGTTAAAATTAGCTGGAACAGAGTTTGGCCTTTTTGCTCCTAAAATCTGATTCACTACTCGTTGTTATTTCAACAAATGATTTCCTGAAAGTAAAAGGCAGGGGAAAAACCAAGTGTATTTCATAATCAAATATTCTAAAATAAACATTCTCAGAAAGATTTGTTAATAGGTAAAAATGAGTTTTATCTGTATTTGAAATGAGTTATTTGCATACTCAAGTTTTCAAAGAATTTTTGTTATTTGTATAAATGTGTAAGGAGTACATGTGTAGTTTTGTTACATGGATATATCGCGTAGTGGTGAAGTCTGGGCTTTGAGTGTAGCCACCACCTGAATATTGTGCTTTGTATCCATTAAGTAATTTCTTATCCTTTACCCTGCTCCCACCCTTCTGAGTTTCCAGTGTCTATCATTCCACTTTCTATGTCCATGCATACACATAATTTAGCTCCCACTTATAAGTGAGAACGTGGTATTTCACTTCCTGTTTCTGAGTTGTTACACTTAAGATAATGGCCTCCGATTCCATCCATGCTACTGCAAAAGACATGATTTCATTTTTTTCATGGATGAATAGTATTCTATTGTGTGTGTGTGTGTGTGTGTGTGTGTGTGTGTGTGTGTATACACACCACATTTTCTTTATCCAGTCATCCGTTGATTTAATCAGACATTTAAGCTGATTCCATATCTTTGTTGTTGTGAATAGTGCTGTGATAACAAAGAATTTTTTTTATATTCTGACTTTTGATATTACAAACTCCCTTCTCCCCAAAGTTAGTTTTTGTATAAAATGAATAAATGAAATACAGCTTAGACATACCATACCTGCTCAGATGGTAAATGTATTTGTCTTGTCTTTTGTTATCTGAAAATAGTTGTTTTCTTTCAAAGGCACGAGCAAGGTTGGAATTGAGAGAGGAAGCAACCAAAGAAGATGCTGAGGATATAGTTGAAATTATGAAATATAGGTAAGATTAAAATTGTATATGCTGTTTTAAATTAAATACCAGTTATCTTCCCATCTCAAATTATATATTAGGCCAAGCAAAATTACTTTTATTTAGCCCATTGAATCACTTATTTTTCTCTGAACAAAATGTACCTTCTTGCTTTAAAGTATTTCTGTGTAAATAATTGTTACATTAAACAAATTTTTTTGAGTGGGTAATACGTTCACATAATTCTAAAATTATAAAATCATCGTGAGATTTTGAGAAGGCTTGCTCCCATCCTGTTTATCACCCACTCTTTCCCTCCACCTACGTACCCATTACTTTTCCATAAATAGCATACTATTTATACTGTTTTGTACCATTTTTGAATTTAACAATATATGCAGAGATCTTTCCTTAGTAGGATATAGAGATTTCCTTTTTTTACAGCTACATAGTTTTCTATTGTGTAGATACACTATAGTATATTTAATCAGTCCCCTATTATTAGATACATGAATATTTTCCATTTTTTTGCTA